ATATGAGCAACTCTCCCATCTGTAGTGGCCTGGAAGGTTATGCCCCAAGGGATCTCCTTGAGTGGAACCAGCAGAACATCACTGGTGGTTGCATCCGCCTGACTACCCGGACTGCACGGGGGGGGATGGGTTCCTTTCGATGCCAAAGTTAAAACTGCCACACTTGATTAATTCCTAAATGATCATGAACATGAACCTCGTTGATTGCCGGGACCAGTGTGCCGGGGGCTGCTCTTGAACTGCCTTCGCGTGGGCAAATATTACCGACGGCAGGGGAGGAAGCATCGGTTGGTCTGGCGATCTTCTGGACACCAAGGCATTGGAAACAGAAGTGCATGACTTATACATAAGGGTGCCGGCATCTTCTCTCGGTACAGTCTATATCAAATCTTTTTCTGGTGTTCAATCTACTCACCTTTTAGATGTAATATAAGCTATCGAGAACATCTGAACAGTGGTTCCTCGGTGTATATGTAGCATACAAAGAGAATCAGATTTCTCGGAAGAACAACATTTATTATCATGACAATAGTTCTGAAGTCGGAATTAATTATTATCATAACATTTATAGTTTCTGGAGTCCTGATAGTATTGTTTTGTTTCTACACATGGACGTGGAACAGGACGACGATGATAACTGCAGACATAGAAGGTAATATATTCAGTGTTATTTTTATTGCATATAGAAGATAACCCAGAAATATTTTATGTTTCATTTAATACTCGTTAATTATATAAATGTGCCTTCTGTCACAGAAAAGTCGGCAATTATGTAATAATTACCAGAGACGACGGGGATCTGTTGGTGTTTGATTTGCAAACCATTGTATCAGCTACGTCAAACTTCCTTCTGGATAATAAAAACAGAGAAGGTGGTTTCGGTGTCGTCCAGAAGTATTCTTTGTTGTTGACTTAAGGGAAAAGACCCCTTGGCGTTCACTTTTTCTACTAGGACACGGGATTTTTATATGCGAAATACAGAAAGAAAACAGTTTAATAGATGACAATATCACAGGGAGTCCTGTCCGATGGACGAGAGATTGCCGTGAAGAGACTCATAAGCCTGTCTGTCGAGGGGCTGACAGAGTTCACCAGCGAGGTCAAGTCCATAGCAAAACTCAGACGGATGAATCTTGTCCGGCTCTTGGGCTGCTGCATCGTAGAAGAGAGGACATTTATCTACGAGTTCATGAAGAACAAGAGCTTGGATACCTTCATATTTGGTAATTGTCACCATTTGAAGCAAATCTTTAATTTTTGTGCTTTTAGAAACTACAGAATTGATTTAAATGGCCGGCACAACGATAGCTCCAATATCATATTTTTGACTTCATCATATTTATCTCAGAAAATTGATATTTCTATGTGGTTTCACCAAGTTACAATCAAATGCCTTAGATGAGCACAAGGGTGCTGGTCGTTTCACCAAGTTACAATCAAATGCCTTAGATGAGCACAAGGGTGCTGGTCTCGGATGGAGAACACGCCTTGACATTGTGTTGGGCATCGCTCGTGGATTTCATCATGACTCGGGATCGAGAATCATAGATAGGGACCTAAAGGCGTGGAATGTTCTCCTTGACAAAGGAATGATCCCCGAGATATCAGACTTGGGGACTGCAAGGATCCTCGGTGTAGATCAAATGCTACACAAGACTAGAAAGATCATCGGTGCTTAGTAAGTTCTTCATTGATCATAGATAAAGAATCACTATCTTTGAATCTAAAACATTTAAAGAAGGCAGAAAATCAATGGGCAGTATTGAAAGGTTTGGCAACATCGTTTCTGGATTTGGTGGCCATTTGAAGAATATAACCTTACAACTCTTCATAACAACTCAAGAACCCAAGAAGAATGGAGAAACAAAAATGCCCAAATCTATTAAATTGGAAATTGGAGAAATCAATTGGCATAGCCAATCAGTCGTCAAACTGGTTCTCTTAGAGGACCAAGTCGAACACCTCATATAGTAACACCATTATGGCAGTTACTGCAAGTGCTATTATCTTAGCACAATCTCAGCCATCCGTTATGAAGTTATAATGGCTGAGATTGAAACGTTCAAAAGAAATAGATACAAGGAAAAATGTAAGATAAAATAGAACTCTCATTGAATGCCTTCCTCCTTCATAGATTGCGATGATGACAGCAGCGAGATTAACTCCATTATTCACCTCCTTAAGCTTGCTGCTATTCCACCAGATCTTCCACTCCAATCAGCTTCCAAAATCCTGCAAATTTAACTTTTGCAAGAGATTTTGTTAGAATGTCTGCCCTTTGTCTTTTCATTGACACGTAGGCGACTTCAACTTCACCATCTTCAACACAAATGCACACACAATGGTAGAGAATTTTTATGTGCTTTGATTGACTGTGAAATGCTGGATTCTTCATGAGCTCAATGGCAGAGACATTACTAACTTGTATCTTAACTAGTTCGAGGTAGATTCCAGTTAGCTCTCTGAAAAATTCAACCAGCCAAACACCTTGACATGCTGCCAAAGTGAGTGAGATATACTCAGCTTCACAGGATGATAGGGCGACAATGCTTTTGTGACACCCATGTCACAAGGCTTTTGCCAATAAAGAAACAAAAGCCTGACATGCTCTTTCTCTCCTCTATATCTCCTCCATAATTATTGACATAGAAGCCAACAAGTAAAAAATTCTTCTCCTTTTTGTACTTAAGACTGAAATTCAAGGTGCCCTTAATGTACTCAGTACATGTTTAGCACACTTGAGATGTTCAACTGATGGATTTTCCATAATTTTTTTGAGAAATCCAACACTAAATGACAAGTCCAGTCTAGTGTGGGTCAAATACCTTAACGATCTCATTAAGCTTCTATAAGTGGTAGCATTTATCGAGTCTCTTCCTTCCTTCTAATTAAAAATAAGTCTTACTTCAAGAGGAGTAATTGACGAATTACAATTCATTATGTCAAATGTCTTAAGAATCTTTAGAGCAAATGACTTATGTGAGAGAGATAAAGTCACCAGTTTGTCATACTTCAATGCCAAAATATGTCAAGAGCAGACCCATATTAGACATCTCGAACATGTTGGCCATTTTGAACTTGAAATCTTCAATTTCCTTTTCAATGTTCCTGGTGATGAGTAAATCATCAAAATATACTCCCACATATAGGTGATAATTCACCTTCTTCTTAAAGTAGACCGTAGGCTCAAAGTTGCTCCTAATTAGACCCAATGAGATAAGACTCGTATCTAATTTAGAGTGCTAAGCTCTTGGTGCTTGTTTCAAGCCATAGAGAGCCTTTTTCAATGTATAAGCCATCTTCTCCTTCCTGTTGACTTCAAATCTAGGCGGTTGATTCACATATATGTCCTCACTAATTTCTTCATTGAGAAAAGTAGATTTTACATCCATATGGTGAATTTTCTAACTAAAATGAGCTGAGACAGCTAGAAGAACCAAAATTGTCTCAAGTCTTGCTATAGGTGCAAACACATTAGTAAAATCAACTCTATACCTTTGCACATAGCCTTTCACCACTAGTCATGCCTTGTGCTTGAGAATTTCTCCTTTTGGATTCTTCTTGACTTTAAAGACCCACTTGAGTCTAATAGGCTTGCATCGTACTTGTGGTGTGACTAGAATCCAAGTATGATTCTTGTTTATTTGATTCAATTCTTCTTCCATAGCTCTCTTCTAAATTTCGTCATTGAGAGCAGCCTGAATTGATTCAGGTTTTTCTTTAGTCATTAAGTTACACACTTCATCTTCATCTTCATCTTCAACTAGACTGGTCTCTGCAAATAATTCAAATAGATTCTTGAATCTTTGATGTTGTGAAGATTCACCCGAAGATGAGGTAAGTTGAGTGTATTCAGGTGAGGCAAGATTTGAAGACATCTCCTCTCCACGATTTCCAGCTTCATTTTCAAAGTCTTGAGGTTGAAATCAACTAGGAGATCAAATATAAGAGATGATAGCGATATACCTGATTCTTTTACCACTGTGAAATTCTCCCAAATCCAGTATTTTTCTTCTTCAAATATTACATCTCTCGAGATGTGAATCTTGACTAATGTAGGGTCAAATGCACATTACCCCTTGACACCTTTTTCATAGCCAATAAAAATCATTGATGTGCTTCTATCATCAAGTTTCATAAGAGCTCCTCCAAGTGCCTTAACATGCAGATTGATCAAAAAACCTTTAAATGGTCAACTTGTGGTTTTTTGCTAGACCATACTTCATAGGGAGTCTTTCCTTGAAGACTTCTTGTGGGAGCTTTGTTTAGAAGATAGACAGCTGTGCTTGCTACTTCTCCCTAAAATGCTCAAGGTAAGTGCTTTGATTTCAGCATAGCTCTTACCATGTCCAGTAGAGTGCGGTTTCTCCTTTCTACTACACCATTTTATTGAGGTGCGTACAATGTAGTCAATTGTCGTTGGATTCTCTACTCATCGAACCATTTAGAGAACTCTTTGGAATTAAACTCACCCCCTTGTTCTGTCCATAGACATGACATTTTCACCTCTTTCTCTACTTTAGTTAGAGATTTAAATTTCTTCAAAGTTTCAAATGCTTCTGATTTCTTCTTCCCCATAAAAATCCACATTAATCTTGTATAATCATCAACAAGTAGTAGGAAGTACTTACTTCCACCGAGAGTCTCTAGTTCAATTGGCCCACAAATATCTCCATAAATAAGTTTAAGAGGTCTTGTAGCTTGAAATGATGAAATTGACAAAAATGAAGCTCTTGTTTACTTGGACTTCACACAGTCAATACAAAGTTCTTCTCCCCTTTCAAACTTCGGTAGTCCTTTGACCATATCATGTGAAAGCAAAGCAAAAAGAGAAGTGAAATTTAAATGGCCATACCTCTTATGCCAAAGCCAATTTTGATCAAACTTAGCATGAAGACAATTTTCAACAATGTCGAGTTTCAATAGGTAAAGTCTTCCCACATTTCTTTTACCTTTGTTAGAAGTATGCCTCTCTGATCATGAATTGTAAGAATTTCATTTTACAAATTCATTTTGCACCCTTGTTCATCAAGACTCCCGAGTCTCAGAATATTGGCTCTCAAACGAGGAGTATAGAGGACATTGATCAAGGTAATTTTGCTCCCACTTTTAGTGTTTAAGAGTATCTTACCTCGACCTTCAATGGGGATGTGTGAGTCATCACCAAAATGGACACCTCCTTTAGATGACTCATCTAACTCAAAGAAAAGAGTCTTCTCACTAGACATGTGAGATGTTGCCTCCATGTCTAAATACCACATGTCATTCATCAGCTCGGATTGAGAGATACCTTGAAGAAGCACATCTGAATCTTCAAATGCCATAAGCAATGAATTATCACTTGAATTTTCTTCAGCTACAATTGCCTTCTGTTTATCTACCTTCGGTCTTTCCTTCTTTGGAAATCGACATTCATTTGCATAGTGGCCCTTCTTTTGGCAATTGTAAGAAGTGACAAATGACTTATCTCTCGGTCTTTTATCGTCATCAAAGTCTTCTATCTTCATCATTCCTCTTGCTCTTCCTTTGCCACAGCCTCTTCCTCTGCCTCTTGCCTGAGAACTATCGGAAGAATCTTTCTTCTTATTTTTGCCAAGAGCATGAGCCAATGAGACTTTCTCTTCCCTCTTGACTAAGCGATCTTGAAGTTTGTCTTCATGAATCATGAGAGTTCCATGAACCTCTTCCACTAAGATTGCGTCAAGATCCTGAAATTGCTCAATAGACATTGTAATCGAGTCAAACTTACTTGAGACTGACCTCAGGAGTTTGGTGGAGAGATCAGCATCAAAAATCTTCTCTCTGAGACTCTTTAATTCAATCACAATCCGAGAAGTTTACCGAAATAATCAAGAACTGACTTGTCATCTTCCATAGAAAGATTCTCGTAATCTTTCTGTAGTGATTGAATACAGGCCGTTTGTAGGCATGGAACACCTCCATTTTTTGCCTTCAGCAGATTTCACGTGCTTAGTAGTTTTCTCGACATCTAACTCCTACGAGATTTCATCCGAGAGAGTGCTGAAGAGGATGGACATCACCTGTCTATCTTTCTTCTTGACTAGAGTCTCCGCCTCAATGACATCCTAGAGCTGAAGACCTTTGAGGTGTAGACACATCCTGGATGCCCACACCTGATAGTTAAGCCTCACAAGGATTGGAAAGGTACCTATCTGCATAGGTTGCTTCACCCCTTTCAATCCTCTCGTCACCGCGAGATCCTGTGACAAGTCTCCCTTATATGGTGTCATTGTCGTCCAGATGATGTTGGATCACAAGTGCTCTGATACCAACTGAAGAATCTAACCTTATGACTCTTCGTAACAACTCAAGAACTCAAGAAGAATGGAGAAATAAAAACGCCCAAATCTATTAAATTAGAAATTGGAGAAATCAATTGGCATAGCCAATCAGTGATCGAACTGATTCGCTTATAGGACCAAGTTGAACACCTCATGCAGTAACGTTGTTATGACAGTTATTGCAAGCCTATTATCCTAACACAATCTCAGCCATCCGTTATGGAGTTATAACAGCTGAGATTGAAACGTTCAAAAGAAAAAGATACAAGGAAAAACGTAAGATAAAACAGAACTCCCGTTGAATGCCTTCCTCCTTCATGGATTGTGATGATGATGGCAGCGAGATTAACTCCAACACTATTAAATAGTAGACAGCTGTCTGCAGAATATGCAATCGACGGGGCCATCTCAATGAAGTCGGATGTCTTCAGCTTCGAGGTTCTAGTATTGGAAATAATCAGAGTCTAAATCGAGGGCTGTATACGACTGAGCCACTGGAAAGTCTTCTATTAAATGTTGAGCAATAGTTAGTTACCTTTTTTAATTTAGTTGTTCTACGTAAATCATGTCTGGGATTATCGAAGTGTAGATAAATTCTCAGCAAAACCGATCAGTTTCTTTTCCGAGGCAGGGGGCGCGAAATCGTGGCCATTCTGTTCGAAGGGGCTGTTCCAAAATTGCCCATGCGACTCCTCTCTTCCCTTTGCTCGTCACTCTTTCTCTGTCTCTCTCTCCCCCCCTTCCCAGCCCCCAAATCGGTATCTTTCTCTTCCTTTTGACAGATGGACGGGGTCCTCTTTGTTCAAGCCCTAATGTTTCGTCGGAAATTCATTCACAGTCCTTTTCACACCACTTTTCTTCAATGACTTTGTGCTGAAATGACCTGAGAAGCCGGTATTTTGGCTTGGGGAAGCAAGGTCGAAGGCTGACCAACTGTGTTGACGCACCCATAATATTCTTCTAATTTTTTGGGACGAATTCTTAAAGTAGTGTGATGTCACCCATTTGTTCAGGCATGGGGACTATGGAAGAACAGGAACTATGCAGACCGACTTGATGATGCACATACTGGTCTGTGTCCAATGTCTGAAGTATTTGGATGCATACAAGTCGCGCTACTGTGTACAAGAGCGGGCAGAGGACAGACACTCAATTGCCAACGTGACAATGACGCTGTCAATGAAACGTTTCCCCTGCCTGAATCCAGAAGGCCAGGCTTCGTTGTATTCAGGAGTGCCGAGCGAGGCACTGTCTCTGCATCACATGAGGTGCTAAACTATTCTGGAAATGGAGTAACAGAGACGGTCATTGAGGGCAGGTAGAGTTGGAGATGTCGCACCATTTCAACCGCAGATATGAAATGTGATGACTTTGCATTATTTCTGGTTTTTTATACATATATCGATGGAGAAGGAATACTATGCCAGTTTCATTGCCCGACCATTCTATACAGTACCTCAGATAAAAGAGTCCGTAACAGTAAATGATAGGGTGGCAAAAACGACCAGATGCGTTATACAGTTAGAATTCACATTTTGAATCAATACGCAAGTATATTCTCTAGTCAAAAAAATTTACCTTTTAATTAAAAAAATTTACGCTGTCATGCATTGATGAGAACACAGATCAGGCATAATAGAGATTCTTTTGTTGATAGTACGAATCGCCAGACATTTTTTCTAACGCCTGGCAAGGTTACCTCTCCTAATGTGATGGGATTAACACTGTAATCAGGACTACTAGGAGAAATTCGTAAATTATCTCAGTCCTGAAATTCAGTACTCGATAAGGGTTCTACATGAAACAAGCACACTGGATAACCCAATTCTATTGTGGAAAATCAAAAGCTTGACTTCAATTCTTTGGTTAAGACGGCACTATCATCACAATAAGTTATTCCATCTGTCTTCTTAGTGTGACAAGTATATTTAATGCACCTCAAAAAATCACATAATGTAAAGAAATAAATAGCTTTTTAAGATTTGGGTAACATGTAAAACGTTGGGATGAGCATGAAAGAAATTCAGGTTGGATGTCGAAGATTATACCAAAGCATTGTGAGTTTCTATAATGAACGTCTGAATATATGGAACAATTACTTCGTCTTGTTAAATTGAGCACTTCTTGCCTTGGAAAACGTGTACGAGAGCCCTTAAAGAGCTATGAAAAGGTTTACGTTTCAGCCTTTACTGGTTATCATTATGGGTAAACAGCACAAGAAATGTATTCTTCTTGAACCATATAAATATTGAGAGTTAACACAGGCAGTTAGGTCTGCTCATTTGCCTACTTATTTTAATGATAGTGTGACAAGGATTGACTCTTCTGGTGTTCCTCTTGATCTTGGTGTTGAACCTAACAATGGTTTCCATACCAATTTCTGTCTCATTTCATAAACGCAGTATTGAAATAAAACATGGTTTTTCAGTACTGAAGACACTTTGAATATAATATACTGCAAAATAACCATGCATAAGCTTATCAATGTGTCAAATATAAATTTAGAATAATGGAGACTTATTTGAATTTTTAAAAATTATTTATAAAAATATTAAAAATTTCTGAGGTTTGAGTAACTCAACACACTATAAATGCCATCATCTTTTATGTTATGCTACTTCACCAAAATGCTAAAAAATATGTTAGCAACAACTCAGTTTATTTAATAGGATTCTTAAAAACAAAAGAATTTATAAAAGAAGACACCTATTAGAAGTTAGCTTTGGACAAGCTGAACAAACTTTAGAATTGATAAAATTATTGTTAAATTGCAAGCTTGTAGAACACAGTGATTTATGAGATAAATAGACTAATTAGATATTTACTTTTGAGCATGCTGAACTAAACATTCATGATAATGGAACCTTTTTTAAATTGTAGGCTCATAAAATATAATGACTGAAAAGTAAACAAGTCTATCATGTATTTTCTACCTGTATTTTCTGTAAGAAAGCCTTTTATGACCATAGGCATTAAGAAAATCAGATGCAAATTTCCCCAACGATGCTTTTAGATCTCATCGCTTTAGGTCAAGCCCAACTATGTCTTGCACTTTCTTCTAAATTCATAGCTCTACGTTTGGAATGATAATCACTTCTGGTACTAGCTTTCTACCACTAAAAGCCTACTTTTAAATGACATGAAATTAAAACTTATAGAAATTTTTGGGTTGAGCATGTAGTGTAGACATTGAATACAAAAACTTGGGAGTATGTACAAGTTTATAAAATGATGGAAAACATGATAGAGGTAGCATTATATCAGCCTACTGGAAGAAGGATAAAACACTTCAACACCTAACATAAAGCTTCAACGCATTGGTTGAGTAATTTTATCCAAGAAATGTGAGAAACGTACACCTATCCTTAGGAGAGGGCATTGAGCATTCCGAACTCTATTATCTGTGTATATAACTGCATGTCATACACTATCTGAAATGAGCACATAGAAGGATGGGCACACCACCGGTGCTAGTGTAGGCAGATATATACATGCACTTGTACGTAAGGGCAAGGAGGTGCAGGCATAGTTATAATGATTCTGAATTTTTTTCCTTATAAAAAGATTTAATTAATTTAATAAGCAGTTTAAGATCAACATTGGAACATCCATTGCAAATGTTCAGTGGTGATATGGATGTTCATATGATGTGTGGATGAGAAAGTAAGATTTTTCAACTATGGCTAGATCTACAAGATCAATCTCATTTAAATATATCACTCCTTTCATTCCACATTAGAGAGTTAATAGTGTATTTAGTTATGAACACGTAATCTCCCCCTAAATCAGATGCTGGGTCATAATCATAACACATGAGATTAAACATTTAAACATGAAATGTGGATCTTTGAAATCCACAATGGGATTGATTGTTTTGTCTCTCCTTGGCTAAAGATATTGTTCTTATTTTTCCACAGAATCTCATAATAAATGATGTATGAGTTTAGTGTGTTTAATCCAAGGTGGACAACAAGCTTATTTACATGGTTAATTGCTACGGTATCAACATAGAATAAAGAAATATTACTTGCACTAACACCTTATTTAGTTACATTTTCACTTTCAGCACTACATAATGCAATAGATTCTTGTCTTCTTGAAATCTATGAAATTAAACATCAACCATGGATAGTTTAAAACCTACTTGCACTTTTATATGAATTTCATTTATTACACTATGAAAATTACTAGAGCACATTAATTTTGCATCACAACATCTTAGATAACTTGTTCTAAAAACTACAATTATAGATAGATAACAAACAAGTGTGGTTGATTTCAGTCCAATTAATTTTTTTAGATTTGTTTTAAATCTAATGTACAAGTAGGCAATAGAGGGTGAAATCTATTACATATGCAGTTAATTGTACTACAAACCCATAGATTTCATTGTGTTTTCATATATTGAATTTATGTTGAATTCTCAATGGAATCATAGTACAAAGAGGTGGGAGTGGATTAGTCTTTTTCTAATTTTCCTTTACTATTTTGATCTACAAGGGAAGATATGGTATTTGACACAATTATAATAGTTTTATCCAAAATATCTCAAGGTTCAATTCCTCAAGATATTCCTCAACCTCCAAAATAACTGATACCATTGGTAAGTATCAGCTAATCTCCTCTAGATTAGAGCTCTAAATGGGACTTGAGTGCAAATAAAAATATAGAATGAGTTATAAGCATCACTATCCTTTGCATTCAGCTCCAAAATATCTTGATGTTCAATTCCTTCTAATTCCTCATTGAAAAGATTTACGAGGATATACCAATGTACACTTGATTGCTTCATGTTATTTAGCCCTTTATGCTGATTTTTCAGTGATCCTCCATGTTTCTAGTTGAGGAGAGGGTCTTTTATACATTCTTCATTTTTCTTTCATTTATAAAATTTCCTAATAACTATTTTAATGTTGTGAAACAATTCATTTCATAGAGAAGGTCTGCCTAATATATAGTTTCATTTTTTCTTTCTCTAGCACACCTAAAGGTTGTCTCTTTTTCTCTCCTCATGGCAACACATGCATCAACACCAAAATTTGGGTGTAGAGAAAATGTGCAGATAATATTTCACTAGAATACTCAATAAGTTACATGTACTATTTTAGATCCTATGCAATCATCTTGAATGATGATTAGAATATCTAATTTAACTTGTAATATTCAATCACCATTTTAGTCTTTATCCTGACTTTACATAACTCAAAGCTTTGCCAGATAGAAATCACTAAGATCATCAAAATAATTAGTTTTCATCAATCTATTATTTCATATTCTATGATCATCATCAAAAGATGTAAGGCTGCTAAAGCCATAATTATGTTACCTGACTTTTCAGCACATAAATCAGAACCTATTACTAATCGAATTTGGTAATGGGGCTGCCTTTCAACACATAAATCACCATTTTGAGCTTGTTTTGTATGATTCTTTCATCCCCATTTTCTTTGTTTCTTTTAAACTGGCTTAGAGGTTCTGATGCATGGTTCTAGACCTCATGCTCTTCTGTGCTCTTTAGTTGAATTTCATGGCTGGGTCATGTCAAGATATTCCCTTCTCTCCATTAGGATTTATGTGCTCTTTAGTTGAATTTTGACTATGCCATAAATTTTCTCAACTATATCTTTTTGATGATTTCATATAGATTTAATTCTTTAAATTCCAGTAATTTTATCAATTGGAAAAAAAATATATTATCTTTAATGGAAAATTTCTGATTTTTTTCTTCAAGAAAATTCGCTTTATACAAAGAAATTTTCATGATATCATTTTGAATGAATTGAGTCTTCAACAGCCAATGCCTTTAATACCCTTCAGATAATTTTTTTGAACCTATTTCCTCTCAGTTATAAATTATTACATTTGCATTCTTGTAGTCTAAAGTAGGCTGTGTGGACTTTCATTTCAGAAATACTCATACGGAGTTCTTAGCTAACTGATTAATGCAAAGCCCTATTTCACAAATTACATTTGTTGTTGATGACGTTGGTTTCAATTACTTGAAAAAATCACTTTTACCAAGTGTAGCTTGTGATGTCTCTATCAAGCCTTGGTTTATATTGTAAGGAAGACTTTACGCAAAAAGGTCTAGCCAAAGGGAAAATCACAATAACTTATTTTTCATCACTCAAAATTTTGTCTTCCCATGGTTGTCTTTAAAATTGGTTTTCCCTATTTTTCCCTTTTGCATTGTGCTTAACACTTTCTCTCTCTTATCTGTTAACATATTTGTCACCACATTTATACTCTTTTACTAATATAAAAGGAAACATGTTCTATTGTGTATAAAGCTTCTTTGAAATATGTAATAAATTTAAGAAATTATATTAGATCACTTCAACTTATTTGGGCATATTCAAGGGTGACACTGATATTCCATTATCTTATAATAAAAAATGAGAACTTTACCCCAATTTTAGTTTTCCTTAGTTTTAAAGGCTCTTCTAGACTATTGCAATTTAGACCTTTCATAATCTAATTCATCTATAATTTACCCTTTTGTAAATTTTTACCATCATCAGAACAATTTAGCCCCAAAGGATGAAATAAGTAAGATCATTTCATTAAAAAATAAAGCTAAGAAGTTTCCACACAGATATAGACAAATTATAAGAATTTTGGTTACTAAATGTAGGTGCTTGAGCAATGAAGACTAGGATGCTCCTTTCATTGATGGCTAGCAATGTCTTAGTTCAATATATGATATCATTTATGAGAATATATTATTGAAATATTTTTTACCCAATAAATTGAATTAAAATTAAGTTTTTAAGACCTGATTTTAGCATAGAATTTTATAGAGACATATACTATTATTTCTAAAGAGGATAGATTATATGAAACCAAATGAGAAAAAACAAACAACAATGCTCCTTTTGAACGAGAGACATTTTATGTGTTTTTTCTTTAACATTTTACATGATGATAACCAACAAGATATCCTTCATGCTATATATTCTTTGCTGGTACATGAGTTTTGAATGGGTTTCCATAAGTACTTCACTTGTATCACAGATTGACATTTCTACTCTGGTTACTAGGGATTAAGTGTACTCTAACAATAGGAAGGCACTTTTGTCTTCAAAAGGATTTAAATGAAAAAAGTTGGATTTTATGAAAATATTATGAGTAAATGAACATGTTTAGAATTGTTTGTCAGGGATTTCTTAATTATGAGAGACAATGCTTTCAAAGAGGTTAGTGCTGAAATGAGAAAAGAAAAGAAGGGCTGCGTCATAATTCAAAAAATTTAATTCACTTAAGCGCTATTTAGATTTGAGGATTTAATCGAATTGTATGCAAAAAATCCAATTCAATTTATTTGCATGCCTGTTTTAACTGTTCTCTTTGATATCATCATGGTAAAAAATTGTTTAATAAATAAGTGGTGATGAAAAAGGGGTATTCATATGAGTTGATATGGAAATTAAAATAGGCATAAAAATGGTTGTCTTTTTAGGCGTTAGTGGACAATTTACTTCAATTACGATTTTTGTATGATATACATGGAAGTTTATGTTTTGTGAATAAGAGTTTCACAGGGTTAGAGGGGGCGTCTAGGAAAGAACCGTCATACTTTCAATGACTTTCAAATCATATGACATAAAAATGCTTTTCTATCAACGTCGAATTACAAAAACATCAAGAAAATAAAAAAATCTCATCCATGGGAGGGGTAAGCTTGACCAAGCAGTGTGGCAGCCTATTTGGAAAACTATAGAGAAAGAGAGGAAATAGAGAACATCTGTGTACATCACGGGTTTTAATAAGCAAGTGTTGGGCAAACTAATGTACATTGGCTCAGAAAGTCAAATAGAGAAACGAAGTAATCAAGTGCGGTGAGGCAATCCTGCGCCTTTCATTGAGCTATCCTGTTCAGAGAAAGAGGGTAACGTAAAACCTTATAAAATTCTCCAATTTGGGGTATCTCTTGATAAAAAAATCATATGGGCTGCACCCCACAAGCGTGCGACTTGACGATATCGTGTCCATCACGCAAAACAAGTCAACGGGATGAATGCGAACTGCGAATGGCATCGACGTTTCACCTCTCCCTCGTTCCTGATATGGACAACTGCTCATCTAGTCAAGCTCAAGATTGTGAATTCCGAGTGAGTTCATTGTTTTCTTTATTAGGACGCTCAAGCTCATCCAGAAAACATGCAAGTCACCACCAATCGTGTTCGTGCCTGTGTTATTTCCATGGATGGAAGGGACACTGATGGTAGCTGTCCAACCGTTGTTGAGGACGCGCAGGGCTTTGAAATCCGCCAGGGAGTAAAGCACGCTTGTGCTAGTGAGATGGAAGGGACATGACAAGTCCACAAAATGCTTCCCTTTCTCGTCTCCCTCCTGTTAGCAGCCTCCACAGCGGCGGCGCCCATCAGCCGGAGCAAGTATCTACGGGATGGCGAGACCGTCCTCTCCGCCAGGCAGATCTTCGAGATGGGCTTCTTCAGCCCCGGCAGCTCCAAGAAAAGGTATCTGGGCATCTGGTTCAAGAACCCCCAGCCACAGGCGGTGGTCTGGGTGGCCAACAGGGAGAAGCCCCTGGACAATTCCACTGGAGTTTTACTGATTGACGAACGGGGGAGGCTCCTCCTCCTCGACAGACAAGATGGGGAACCCCTCTGGTCAACGCGCGGCTCGCCCGATCCTGGCGTCAACGCAGTCGCGGAGCTTCTCGATTCGGGCAACCTCGTACTGAGAGACAGCGAAAAGGGCCTTCCGCAGGGTCTTCTGTGGCAAAGCATAGAGGATCCCGACCACGTGATGCTCCCGGGCATGAGGATCATGGCCGGCAGGTACCTCACATCTTGGAAGAGCCCCAACGACCCTTCTCCGGGGATGTACACCTTCAAGATGGACTTCACCATTCTACCTCGCCTCCTCATGTACGAAGGCTCGAGGCTGAGGTACAGCACAGGCCACTTCAATGGATTCCGCTTCATTGGCGTTCCCTACATGCAACCGAACCCGATCGTCCTCTTCATCGTGGAAACCACGGGAGACCAGGCGGACTACCGATTCGAGATGAACACTAACACCACGGTGTCCATCTTGAACCTGAGTCCCAACGGCGTGGTGCAGAGGCTGCTCTTCGAGGTGGAAACCAGTACTTGGAAGAGCTTCACGTACTCGCCGGTGGACGAATGCGACAGGTTCGCCAACTGTGGAGCCTTTGGCATATGCAATATGAGCACCTTCCCCGTCTGTGGGTGCCTGGAAGGCTATGCGCCGCGGAATCCCGGCGAGTGGAACAATCAGAACACCAGCAGCGGCTGCGTCCGCCAGACGATCCCCGACTGCAGCGGCAATTACAGCGGCGGCGACGGGTTCCTTCTGGTGCCGCAGCTCAAGCTGCCCCACTTGATCAACGTCATGGTGAACAGGAACATGACCCTCCAAGAGTGCCGGCACAAGTGCGCGGAGGACTGCTCCTGCAAGGCCTACGCCAGCGCCAATGTCACCGACGACCGCGGGGGATGCATCACTTGGCTCGGCGATCTTCTGGACATCAGAATCTTGGACACAAAGGTGCAGGACCTGTACATACGAGTTCCGGCCTCTTCTCTCGGTACACCCCCACATCTCTCGTGAAGAAGTCAACTCTTCTCCGACCATTTTGTAATATAAATGGTGGGTTTTTCTCTCCGACTCATGTTTGATGACCGTTGACGATATGCAACATGTGCCCGCGCATCAAGTGAAAGAGCCTCCTAGGAGAGCAAAAGTGCCGAAGAAGGTCACGATTCTGGTCCCGTCCATTCTGTTCCCGGGAGTAGTCCTGTCCTTGGTCTGCTGCTGGATCCTGAAGAAGAGGACGAACACAAACACCGAAGGTGAATTTTCACGGCGGGCCTCGTCTGCCTTCGCTTAGATGACGTTGAATTGCTGCAACAAGTCAAGAAATTCCTTCTTCGTTTTGCATCATTCTGATTCGAATTGGTTCGCGAAAGTTGCCCACTCTGCCACAGACAAGACCCGCATCCGCGCAACAGTCAAGAAGAACGAAGAAGAGCTGCCGCTGTTCGCCTTGGAGACTGTTGTATCGGCGACGTCCGATTTCTCGCCCGCTAATATAATCGGAGAAGGGGGCTTTGGGGTCGTCTACAAGGTATCCCTCTGCCGTTGGCCAATGGAATCTCTATGGGCGATCTGATATAGAGACGAAGAAATCGCAGGGAATCCTGGCTGATGGGCGAGAGGTCGCAGTGAAGAGGCTGACGAGAGTCTCTGTCGAGGGGCAAAGCGAGTTCACCAACGAGGTCAAGTCCCTGGCAAGACTCAGGCACAGGAATCTCGTCCAGCTCCTGGGTTGCTGCATTGCCGGAGAAGAGAAGATGCTCATCTACGAGTACATGAAGAACAAGAGCCTGGATGCCTTCATTTTCGGTAACTATTGACGATCTGAAGCTCTCCAAGATCCAAGATTTCTGTACTTCGAATGGCCCATGGATACCTGTGATTTATTTATCTCAGAGAGCTTGGCATTTCTCTGGGGGTTCCATCAAATTTCTAATCGAACGAATTGAAAACATGATGAACTTAGATGAACAGAAACGTGCTGTTCTGGGATGGAGAACTCGCCTGGACATCGTGATGGGCATCGCTCGTGGACTCCAGTACCTCCACCATGACTCGGGGTCGAGAATCATACACAGGGATCTCAAGGCCTGGAACGTCCTCCTCGATGAAGCAATGACCCCCAAGATATCGGACTTTGGGACTGCAAGGATCTTCGGTGCAGATCAGATGCTGGACAAGACTAGGAAGATCATCGGTACATAGTAAGTTCTTCATCGATCATGCTTACAAAGAATCACATTCTTGTCTTGATCTATACATTTTTGTTAGAAAGGCAGAAAATCCATGGGCAGTATCGAAAGTTTTGACTGCATTGTTTCTGGGTTTGGTGGGCATTGAACAGCGGATACATGTCTCCAGAATATGCGATCGATGGGGTCATCTCAATGAAGTCGGATGTCTTCAGTTTTGGGGTTCTTGTGCTGGAGATCATATGCGGAGTCAGGAATCGTGGTCTATACATTACTGAGCCACATGAAAGTCTCCTATCAAAGGTAGAAAGAAAGCACAAATAATATCTAGTTCTTTAGTCATTTTTTATTTTACTCTGTTCTTTAAAGTCGTCTAGGATTGACCAACGCTGTAGTCAGACAAAAGTGCGCTGACTTTCAACGTCAACCTACAGAAAAGGTCATGCTTTATCACATTACCGTTTCAGGCATGGGGGCTATGGAAGGAGGGCAAATGTGCAGAATTACTTGATGATGCACCAAGCGGTACTTGCCCAGTATCTGAAGTACTGAGATGCATACATGTTGCGTTGTTGTGTGTGCAAGAACGAGCTGTGGTTAGGCCCACCATGGCCACCGTGGCCATGATGTTGTCGAGTGAAACATTTCCACTCCCAGAACCCAGGAGGCCGGGCTTTGTTGTGTTCAGGAGTCCCAAGCACGCATCTGTCTCTACAGCAGTTGAGCTCCTACAGTACACTGGGAATGGAGTGACAAACACAGTGATGGAGGGCAGATAGAGGGAGATGCTCAGATATTCCGCCATGATGTGTTTGAATGTTTCTTTTTTCCATAAAAGGGAAGAATATTTTGTTGACTTGCTTTCACCCTATTTCTCCATATGGCAACCAACGATATGAACAGTAGGCTTAGCCTTCCGTTGAGATTCATATTTTAAAACACTGAATGATGAGTTACGGGATTGTGCTCAGTGGACAATGTTTTGTTGGTTGTATGCATACCAGACTTGTTCTTTCAAAACTTGGAAAGTTTTCTAATGCAGCTGGTTGGATCCAAGCTAGGTAAGATGCCATGAAAATAAGGGTGAATATTTTTTCTATATAAATTAAGAATGAGGATGGCACATCTACGAGTCAAAAACTGGCACAAAGAATACTAAAGCCTTTTAGTTATTTAGTTCGACCCTAGAACATATAAGTTTCATTAACCTCCGCTTGGTACTCATCAGATTAGTAGTAACCAAGCAAACGTATCTTCTAACAGTGTATGTAATCTAAGCCTTTTAGGTTGGTACTGATGCAGGACGGGACAAGAGATGAAACCAGCTGAAACTCACGCAAGATATGGTCATAGTTACTCAAAAGAATCATCTAGAAATTGCATGGCATTTGAAAAAAAAAATGCATGGCAAAATCAGTTTTGTATAAGAGCTGAATCGTAGTTAGTTTCGGTGTGTGCATCCTACTTGTGTATTTCATGTCTATCTCTAACTTTTACAATAGTTTCCAACCAAAAAGAAAGTTTCGAAATAGTTAATCTAATTCGGCTGGATTTCTAATTCGGCTTATATACAGTAACTGGTTCATTGTGTTTGCATTGATTTCGCTCCATCTCTAACGACAAAGTAGAAATACACCATTAAATTAGAAGGCTTAACCTGGAAGATTACAGTGATTTGAATCAAAAATCAATATTTAGGACTAGTGACGATCAAATCTATTCAATCCCTCTCCCTCTACAATACTAAGTATCCTGGGGACATCCACCATTAGTGGAGCTATTACGTGCAGATGTAGCATGTCGAAGGATCAGATCCCAACTCGCAGGAAAATCACCAAGTAAAAGTGGAGATTTCCCAGGCTTTGATCAACTACTTTCATTTGTGCATGTTTTTGGGGGGTGATAAACAGTAGGGATTTTGTGCTTCTTGTACACCAAGTGACAAAAAGATCTTTAAAAGATAAATCATGACTTTCACATCCCTATCTAACACATAAATCTTAATGAATCCATGACGCTTAACAACGTCATCAATATAAACCATTGCAACCCTAGATGCATCAAAAGTTTTAGAACATAAGAGGGATGTGCCACCTGGAACCATTAGCTCTAAGGAATGGTAGGCCCATTACAAAATCTATGCAAATGTAGCACATTTGCTTTGTTAGTGGGGTGAGGTGAATGCACGGCATTTGGAGGTTAACTGTCCAAGATCTCTTCAGAGGCAGGTCCAAGAAACAATTCATCAAGTTACTGAATAGTCCTTTTTGGACCAAAATATTGAGCTAACCCACTTGCATGTAATTCCCAAATAACAAAATTGCTAATTAAAATGACACTAGTGCAAAATTGATTCTTCTAAAATAGGCATCCTTCTTTAACCTAAAATAAGGATACTCCGTAGTCTTCTCACCTTTTCGTTCTACATTAAAGTCGAAAAATCAAGGCAGTCCGCATTGGTCTCCTTAACCTATCAAATCCAATTATTTGAATGTTAGGAATGAAGTACCAGAAGATGGCTAATGTTGTCTCAAGGGGGGGAAATAGACACAGTACTGCTTCCAAATTTTGATTCCTAGTAAAATAGGCTGTAATCGTCAGGATTAAATCTCCTGACTTTATGGGTTGAGAAATGGGTGGCTTGTTTCTATCCTACATTTAAGATGAAGATAGTTTATCAATATTGTGTAGAACATTGCATACAAGATTACAATATGCAATCTAACTGACAGAAATAGATCAACTATTTAATTTTCTATGGTGCAAAAAATTGTTTAGGTTATTGGAATAAGGAAACACATAAACGAAATAAATACACAATTTGAGTGGTTCAGCTCCTATATAATATCCACTATCCCAAGAGTCCTTCCAGGCGTTCACAGCCCTAGACACCAGATAGCATTTTGAGTTATCAGTCATTCCAATGCCTACATGGCTAATAACCGAATTGCTTCTGAGCAATCACTCCACCGCCAGTTTTACTAGCCTTGACCGACCAAATAACATGTCTGAGTGTTGTCACCCCTCCATCGAATTTACTAGCTCCATCCCACCAATCTACAAATCAGAACACTATCACTCCACCAACTTTATTGGCTCCGGCCCACCGATCCTCTCAGGATACCATCAAACCTCCACTGGCTTTACGGGCACCAGTCCACAAAACATCATATGAAGACGCTATCACTACTCTAGATTTATTGACTCAGGGCCATCAAACCAGCTCACTATACCGTGAAACCTCCACTGGGTTCATTCGCTCTGGTGCACCAAACGGCTTGTCAAAACACCATCCCTTCTACACCGAGTTTATTGCCCCTGACCTACCAAGCTGCTTTCGGTACCATCAAACAAACCACAGTTGTACTGGCTCTAGCCCACCAAATAGCATATCAAGAAACTATCGCTCCAATTTTATTGGCCCCAACCCATCCATAGCCCACTTTGTTGTCAAACCTCCACTGGAATTTACTACCTCCAGTGCACCAAACAGCTTATCAATGTGTTGTCACTCCACTGGCTTTACTAGCTCTACCCACTGAACAGTGCACGATCCTGTCAAACCCATGTGTTAATGCAGTTCAAGGTTTAGAGCCCACCGCACCATTAATTTGCATGGTTTATAATGTCTAAGGATAAATAATGAACATATGCAATGTTAAAACATTGATTACTGGATTAGGGACCTTGATGCAGTTCCATCGCGTTTGTTTGAAAAGCTATTCTCTTGATGCTTGGGCAGCTTCAAATTATGGAGATGACTTCTCCTTTGAAGGCGTTGAGCAGAAATTGGTTTCCTCCTGCCTCCAGAGTCTCATAAATAATAGTAGATCCTTAAGGATGGACTAAAGGGTGGATGTGAGAGTTGTGACACCCTCTACATATTTGGTGTGAGGAGAAGTTATCTTTTTATTGAGTGACTTTCGCTGCCTCTAATAGTCATTTGCAATGGCTGTTAATATCTAGAAATCAGAACACTAGCTGTCCTATCAGTGCGCAAAATATGACTTACAAAAAAATTCATTAATTGTATAAAGTCTATATCAAATCGAATTCTTTGACATTGTCTGCATCGGATCACCATTTAAATACCTTTCAGTAAACGTATGCTTATACTTGGGACATCAATTTACATCTAAAATTTATTGAATGATCAGGGGTTAAATTTTCAGTTACTCTTACAAGCAGGAAACCATTTATCAATTAAACTCCTAAATCTTAATTTATCATGACTATGATGGTTAGTTAGGTTTGTCAAAAAATATCTTAATAGTTCTAATATTGTAAATTAAAAATTACCATGCTTAAAGTTTGATGGGCTGACCGGTACTCAGTGCACATATCTACTGTTTGAAATCAACAATAAAATTTTATTAAGGTGTAAGGTTTGCTATAAGATTAGTAGCGTGAAGTCGATTAGAATGTTTAGTTGGCAAACCTTGTACAATTTTTTTTATTGCCATAAATTTATGTGCACAGAAACCGGTCAGCCCATCAAATTTGAGCATTGTAATTTAAGCATATGTACAATAAAAAAAATTGTGTAAGGTTTGCCAACTAAACACTCTAATCAACTTCACCCAACTAATCTGGTGGTTAAAATTTAAATCCACGATCATTAAAACTATTCGGTAATTTGATGTTCGAATCAATCTTCCAACTAGTGCTGTATAGAGCAAATCAAAAATTTCAATGTCCGGGAATTAAAAACTCGAACCAAGTTTAGCAAACTAATCTAATTATGAAAACATTTAATCCGCAATCTATAAAGACATCCTGAATCGGTACTAGAATCAGCATTCCAACTAGTGTGCGGTATAAACTACCCATTCTGAAATCAGGCGATAAAACTTTTAATGTGTACACAAAATTATACTAGTTAAAGTGTACCAATTATAACATTTAATTTAGAATCAATAAAGCATTTTCAGAGAAATTTTAATTATAGCCAATCAAACTTTTAATTCTTATCATCAGTAACCCAAGGTTCCAACAAACAATAGAGTAAACTTAGTCTAAAAATGGCATCAGCCACTCAATACTCCAGAAAGGTTCAATTGTTCATGAGAGCGATCAAAAAATAGTTGATCATGGTCTGAATATAATACAAACTATTATGGCAAGAAATAATGTCTCCAATAAGGCAGACCTTGGACCATGGAATCCAATTGCTAATCATAAATGGGAAATTTTTATCTTGACCCCATTTTACTTTTCACTAAAGAATACAAGGAGTTGACCTTTTGGTTTAAACCACCTCCAGTCCCCAGCCCCAAAGCATCTCAACGTGCTTTAGAGGCTATTAAAATATCTGAAGTCAGTATGGGGGCTTCGATCATTATTGTCTTAGTTTCCACGAGTACCCTAGCAGCTCCTAATTGACATCAGAAATTTCTTCTTTCTGTGCAATTAGTTATTAGTGGCTTAATAGTTTCAAGTCCTTGAATGAATCAGCAATAAAATATTATTAAGCCATCTAAACCCTCACAAAGGCTTCTTGGTACACCAAGGGTACACTTATCCATACTTCGCATGGTTGACATTAACCCAGCCAAGGAGAATTGGTGAGTACACACCGTGCAGCCTTTAATTTAGCATCCCTAAGGTAATATCACCTTCATTGGAGTAGGATGACTGCTGCCCTCTGACAAGGATTCTTTGATTGCAGCCTCTAACTAGTGACTTCAATACATGTTTAGATCCTCATTTCTGAGGGCAAAGGCATCAGAAATTAGCCATTCCCCGTACTTCGAGTGAAGTAGGGATTCCCTTTAGTGGA